GGAGAGTCTTACGTGATCAGAGTTGTGGTATCTTAGCTTGGAAAAAGAGAAGATAAGTGTGTGGTTTGTTAGGCTTTTCTAAATAGGTATAGGGTTGGTACAAGAAAGATGCTGACCAATTGTTCTAAGTCCTCTGATAATAAAACAGGGTGTGGGGTGGGGAAGACTTCAAGCAGAAGAGAACGAGTTCAGGAAGGCTGAAAACAAGTGAATTTCACATGATTGAAGGCTACATCAGAGTGCTGGGGGAGGCTAGGAGCTCTCTGCCCACAGATTTCAGTGTGTATGTGCCTTAAGCGTGGGGTTATGAATATATTAATTGAATTTTGCCCAAATAATTTTAAGTTCTCTTGTTCTTTGCTGCTTCCAACCTGTCATGGGCCAGTAACAGCAGGTCACCTGCGGGCTGTTAGAAAGGCAGAGCTTCAGGCCCCACATCAAACTTACTGAATCAGAATCTGCATTTTAATAGGATCCTCGGGTGAAGTGTATATTTTCCTTCTATAGAGGACTCTGCTACCTACAATTAAATGTAGTCCTTAACATTCTTAAAATAATTATGAAAAGCTTTTATCACAGCGTGGTTAACAGGGAGAAAGCTGTCTGGTGATAACATTTTCTCTATTTTTTAAATGTCATTAGTTAATTGCCCTATTGAAGACATCCACTGAAAGGTGTTTTGATAAACATTAGAAAATCAGATTTATAAAGTTGATACAGAGGCAAATAAACTGATTTTGAAAAATGGACTCCTCTTAAAGCTAATTTTTACATAAATATTATGACAAGTGTAAAATCAGTAATGATGTGTGCAATAAAATATCAGAAGATCTGAGATCCAGCTACTGATTCAAGTGTGGCCTTAGTAGAAGCATCAGTGACAGAGAAGCCAAGGACTGGATTTGAGTCTGGACTCCTGGTGTCAGCTAGCTGTGTGGCACTCATCCTTCTGGGCCTTGGTTTCCTCATCCGTCAAGTGAAGAGCAGCTGAGATGGCTTTTGGGGGTTTCACATCTTTAACCTTCTAAGATCCCTATGAGCTATAGGTACTCTCAAGAACAGCATAGGAAACCTAGTTTCTTTGAATTTATTGCACTTAATCCTCCCATTGTTAATGTGAACCATCAAAGAAAGGGCAAGCTGCTGGAAACCAGTGTCTAAATACCAAATGAATGATGGAAACACCTCCATTGGGAGCAGGCAGGTGTGGGCCTCAGAGGTCAGCAAGGTGAACAGCTCAAACTCCCTATAAACAGCTGGCAGCTCAGCCCAGCTGCTCACAGAGCAGAGAAGTGTAGGCTGCTCACCCACGTGCAATTACGTGTGAAGTACTGCAAATCTAAAAATATCCTGGGCTCAGCCACAGGGTTAATACAGTACTGTCAATGGCTTTCAACTCAACTGTCAGGATGATAACTATAGCAACAGAAAAATGAACACATAAAAAAAGAAGTCTTCTGAAGTTGACAGGAAAAATTCAGATTTAATAAAACACTTATTTTTAATTCCTGTCTCTAAATCTTTGAATCCAAATAGTTCAATTCTGTGGAGGTAATAAAATTAGAATTTTGAAAGAGTTTTGATAAAACAAATACAACTTTCAGTTTTGAGTTCCAGATCCATAAAGAAATACTGCTAACCTGTCAATTTTAATTGCCTCTATAATTAAAGGACCACTTGAACAAATGCTTTATATAATTTTTAACTGAGAAGCTTTTCTATATATTTGTTCTATCAGTTATAATAATAGCCTTGAGCGGTACTTGACATTTTAAGATATTATTACATGTCTGATGAAAATGTAGGGTGATATAGAATGCTCTTGAAATGAAAAGAACTTAGTGAAAATAATTAACATTAGGAAAGGATGCGAAGAAATAACTCCTAGAAGTTTCTGAGGCAGAGCTCACAGCTCACACTGTGGCCCAATGTATAAGGGAGGCTCTGCAGTGCTCACGTCAGTAAGTGCATTTGCATCATTCAGTTCTGATAAAGCTATTCTTGTTCAAAGAGTGCACAAACACATCCAAAATTTCACCATCTTTTTGCATCATCTGATAAAAGAATATTCAATTAGGTGTTGGGAAATGCAGCATTGGTCCTAGCTCTCACATAACTAGTTGTGGGGCCCTAGACAAGTCTCCACTCAGCTGTCTGACCATGGGCCGGATTAGTCTCTCAGGACCTTCCCTGAGAAGGGACAGCTAAGAGTTAAGGGGAAAGAGGAGAGGATTTGTGCTGAATACCCACTATGGGCCATGCCTTGTGCTGGGCTTTAAAAATACATTATCTTAGCAACAACTGGCAAGAGAGATAATTTTATCTCCATTTTATATAAGAGGACATGATCATAACCAAGCCGAGCTAAGAAGTGATAGAGCCTGGTTATAATCTTGTGTCTGATGCCAGATGAGTCTCTCCTCGGGTATCGCTCCAGGCACTCTGACAGCTGACTCTTGCCTGCAAAATAAAGATTGACTCCCAGGTGCTAGTTACATGCACTTAAACCATGCACAGATTTTTCAGTGACTGTCTTGCATTTTCTAAGCATAGAAGATTAGGTCCCTTGGAAAGTCCCTCTATAAGCTTCCTTTCATCCAGGCAACCACTGTTAAATAGTTGTTTTCCTATCAAATATACACTATTCTGCACCTTTTCTCAGTAATAATACATCATGAACATTTCCTCATGTTAATAAATAAAAAAGTACTTTAATCTTTACAAAGATTACATTATTATATTATACTCAGTCACTTTCTAATGGATAGTTCAGCTGTTCCAATGTTATACTTTAATAATCAGGAAAAACGGAAAACATCATATGGAAAAAACACTATGGTATTAAAGTTATTTTTAAAGGAAGTACAAGTCACAAAGTAAATCAAGAGCTTCACCTTATTTAAGATTTGTGTCTTCCTAAAATTTTTGCTTAGACTCAAAATTGCCTACAACACAGAAATACCCTTTAATAAGCCAATTCTATAATATGCAGATGAGATGAACTATATCTGTGGGCCCCGGGGCCAGGAATTCTTTGTAGCATCCCTCAATCCCACTTTAAAAATGCAGTCATGCTATTTATCTGGCGAAAAGAGGTCAACAGCTATGTGAAGGGATTATGGCTGAAAGTGAAACATACACACAAAAACAAGTCTAGTTTTGTGGTTAGTTGAAAATCCACAGCTGGTATAGGCTTTTCTTTAATTAAAGTGTTTCTTCTTCCCCTACAATGAGAAAATGCTCTTTTAGTGCTTACTGGAAGACCAAAATTGAAGCAAAAGCTGTTAGAAAACTCTGAGGCTTAAGTAAAGCTGCCTTAAAGTCTGCTATGTGGACCAACACTTGGAAATTTCCTAATGGGATTTTCTAGAGTTCCAGAATATCTTTCTCTTGGTCACTTCTTTGTTCCTCTGCTTTGGTCAAAACCCAAATCAAATAATGCAAAGGTCACCCAAGTAGCCAGAGAAACAAAACAAAACAAAAACAAAACAAAACAAAAATGAAATAAAAAATCACATGTGTACACACACACACACACACACACACACACACACACACACTAAAATTAATTAGCTAAAATTAGTTATATAATACATATTAGTCATTTATATATAAACTATCTCATTACTTCTTTTTGATGCATTTTAAAGTGTGATGCTATGAGATTCATGTAAACTTAGTTCTATATAAAAATAATCAAAAGAAGCATATATATAAACATAGTTTTGAAGGGGTGGAGTCGGATGTGACAAGGGTAACTTTTCTCTGTGATGAGAGATACTACTCTTCGATCACCTATCAAGGTTTCTCCTGCTGTTCCCTCCTCTCGAACCCTTTCTCTAGAAATAAGGTTGAGAATAAAATAGAGCTTAGCCATAAGGCTAATAAGACATGGTAGGCAGCCAGCCACTTATGTCAGCATCTCTCGAAATCTATAAGAAAACATTTATTTCTCGCTAGAGGCAAGGATGTTTAGGCAACACCTAAATGACAGCCATTCTGGCCACACGCAATGGACTCATGACTTAACAGGGTGAGGGACTGACGCAGTCTGAGGCAGAGACTTGACCTTCAGTGATGGCCCCAGAGCTCAGGGCCTCCATCAGTGGGAAGGGGCCTTGGTGGGTTCTCTCTGGTTTCCCTTCATAGGTGGGATGCATTTTCGTGTCTTATAATACTTAGTATTGATTTCTTATAATACTTAGTATTGATTTCTTCACACTCACAGAGCAGCATATTGGCTACTTCCATTAGAGTTCATTTCTTATTTTCCTAATTTGTTCCGAAACTACAAATGCTAGACATTGAAGAGTGGAGGAAGAAAGGATGTTCAGAAGTGGGCTGAAAAAATAGCAACGATATGCATTATAAAAGCTTTTGCAAGCAGCATGGAATTACTGAAGTAATACATATGTGACCCAGTCAACACCATTTCTAATACAAAATACAGAACTTCCACAAATGTAGAGAGAGCAGTGCCTGAGGACCTTCTCAGGTGACATAGGTATGACTCATATGTAAATTGTACTTCAAACCAGGATATTTCTTAGAATATAAACATGGTCAGAATTACAGTCCAGTGGTCCTGACATGCATTTCAGGTAGGTGGTTAAAAACATATATTTAAAAAAGTAAAGAAAGCATTGTCATATTAGTAATCACAGGCTGCATAATAGTAAAACTGACTGTTTGATCTTGAAGCTCAACATTTTATTTTGGTTTGAGGCAGAGAGGGCAGTGTAGCAGTTAAGAGCTGAAATCTATAGTCAGAGTGCTCGATTTTGAATTTCTTCTCTAGTTACTAGTGATATCAACTTGGGAAATTTTATTAATCTATGCTTCAGTTTCCTCATTTGTAAAGTGGGGATAGTGACAGTATTTCTGCCATAGGGCTGCTGTGAGGATCACATGAGATAATTCATGTAAAGAGCTTAACACGGGGCCTGGTGTCTACTATTGTTATGACTATTATTATTCCCAGGCCAAAGTACTTCACTCACCAAGATGAGTGTCCATCACCTTTGCACAGTATTTGCACATGGCATCCAGGTCATTCAGCTGTCCCTGAAGGAAGGAAATCTGGGCTTCTAATTCTTCTTCCTAAAATCAAGGGGGTAAAGATATGGAAATTAGGAAGACATTCATATAAAACCCCCAAATTCTTCAAATGACCTGGACTATTTTAAAGAGGTACAACGTCTTTTCAGTCCTGGATAAAACAAAGAAAAACAGCAAATACTCAAGAGCAAACCCACCACTGTTGCTACCAATAAAATAGAAAAAGGATAAAATAGAGGTTTTAAAAAAAATCTGGACTTTTCCTAATTGAATGCTAGCTTTGTGTCATGTGTAAATGTTTACTCACACAACCTTATATAAAAAAGTACCTAAAATATCTCCAGTAACTATTGAGCCACACAAATTGGGAGAGTAAATTGGATTTTAGTGAACCAAACTCCCGAGGCAGTTTGTACAAAAACATTACATTTTCTCTCACACACATCTGGGAAACCAAAAATTTCCATTTGTGTAAGACAAATCTTGTCACTTTCCAGACAATGATACTCTCTTAAAAAGTGAGATTTCCCCAAAGCACTTGGAAAAGTTTTGCTCCTGCAGCCCATAAATAGCTGTTCTCACATTTCCTCTCTTGATGTGACACTAGAGCATTTTATTTATTTGATTGTTTCTAGGAAAAATACTCTGGGTTGAGTAATTATCTAAATGGTAAAAGACAATCTAACTGTAACAAAAGAATAAAGCCTGTTTTTTTTTTTTTTTTCCTTTTAGGAAAAAATAATACATGCAAAAAATTTCCCAAAGTAATTTAGAGGATTAAGGGAGTTTTTCTCAGGGAACGAGAATAATCCTCATTAAGTAGGAAATTTTAAACTGAGTTAGCTAGAATGCAAAATAAAGATGTTACCAGAGCTGAGATAGGCTAGAAAATTGATTCTTTAGTTTCAGATGTTTGTCCTTCCACATACAAATCCTATGTCATTGAAAAGAAGGGATGGAAAACCTACTGAGATATGCTTTTCCTTAGAGACTAAATATAATTTGACTTATAGAGGGAAATTAACAGTTGAAAAGGTTACATGTAGGTGTATTCAATTTTAGCAACACACATATGCAGTACTGAAAAGTTCTGTTTCCAACAGTTGCCTGAAGAAATGAGCCCTTAGGAATATGCATTTAAACACTTGACACAGAAAACAGAACAGTAGCTCTATAAACAAATTATTGAGAAGTGCCCACTGAAGGATTACACAAGCCCTAACCACGATCTTTACATATCCCACAACGTGCAGCAGCCTCTCCTCTGATGTGCAAATAAAGACAAATGCAACCAGAAGCAGCTCAGCCAAGGAATGACTGCAGGGGCTGGTGGGCAGGTGGTGCCACTTTTCAAACTCTTTGGCTAGGCTTTAAGGTGGAAAAGGATGGGGGTGTTTCAGGGTATTTTTCTTCTCTTTTTTGCCCTTTGTTTTTGCATGGGTTTGAGTTTCCCTGTGCTGTCAAGACACTGTAGGAATTGGAGGAAGAAGGCTACATGTTGGTTGACTATGGCTGTGGTTAGTCTCCAAAGATGGCCACCATCAATTCCTTCACTCACTGTACATGCTGTTCTACTCATGAGGCAGAATCTATTTGCTCTCCCCTTGAACCTAGGCTGGCCTTGTGACTTGCCTTGCTCCAAAGAATACATGGAACGTCAAACTGTGCCAGTTTTGGGCTAGTGTAAGAGGCATGCCAACTTCTGCTTACTTCTGCTTTCACCAGAGGAAGACAGTTATCATGCTGTAAAGAAGCTCAGGCTAGAATACTGGGAAAGGAGAGAAAATATGGAAAGAGGCCAGAGGAGAAGCGCTGACGTGTGAATGAAGCCTTACTGGACCTTTCAGCCCAATCTCTCTAACGCCACTCAAGTGAGTGACCCTGTCAACATCACGTGGAACAGAAGAACATGCCAACCAAGCCTTGTTCAAATGCCTGACCTGTAACCTACGAGAAATCACAGTGCTATTGTTTTAAGGAGTGGACTTTTGGAGTGGTTTGTGATGCAGCAACAGATTAACTGAAACAGTGGTAGAATGGAAAGAACACTAACTTAGTATATGGCATAAGGAAATTTGAGTTCTATTTCTGATCCTGCCATTTACAAGTCTTGTAACCTTATGTAATCCTCTGTCCAACATGGACCAAAATTCAGCACCCTCTGGAGAAGGTACAAGTCTGACACTTTGCTCTCAAGATGCTTATAAACTTGTAGTTGTAATGAGAAAGTTTTATAAATTACTAGAGTATAAGGTAAAGTACACAAAAGTCTTATAATAATTAAATAAGAGTAATTGCTCTGGAAATCCTGATCCCTGCCTCCTGTCCCTTCTACTGAACGAGTCATCTTTTCAATGTGTTACAGGTACAAACCCAACTGGATGAGTCCAGAACTGTACTGAGGTGACAGCTTGGCAGTATGTTAAAAGAAGGGGGCCCAGGTGTGGCCGAGTTTTCCCTGGCATGTGACTTCCAACTGGGGTGCTGACAGCCCAGAGTAGACAAATGGCAGTAGGAATGCACTGCCTCCTGGCTTGAAATCATCTTCTTTATTTACTCTATGTATTAGTTTAATTTGGATTAAGCAATCACCTCTAAAATGTAAAAGCCCTCGGGAATTTTAATCCCTGGCAGTCATTCCTATCTAAATGGATTTATTTTATTCAGTATGTTTGATTTTAAAAGCTGGGAGGGAAGAGCTTCAGAGGAGATGCTTTAGAGGAGATAGGCCAGGCCTGTTGGTGGTGAGGCTTTGGACAGCTGGAGGGAAGTATGTAGTTCAAGGGAGGTCTCTTCCTCAAAACACTTTACTGTGCTAGTAAGAACATTACAATAAAAATGTAGTGGGACTGGTGCCCTCTAAATTGTGCAGTGCACAATTTGCACAAGGGAAGCCTTGAGAGTGTGGCAGCCCCAAAGCACTTGGTGTGTGAGTGTGTGCACATATAAGAACAGTTTTCCAAGTCAGCAATTTTGCTCGGGGCTCTCGGAAAGTGAAGAGCATCTTGCTTGCCTAAAGCTCAAGCAAACCTCAATACGAATGGAATATATTTGTAGAAAATGGCGACTCTCATTCATTTAAATCTTTTTGTCAAAAGAAAGACCCAGTATACGAGATAAGAAGTGCATTCCGGTTAAACAGATCGAGGGGTCCAAGAACTTCTTTCATTTGGAAGTTAGAAATCTAGTGTATTATTTCTCTAGAGTTTGCTTAATCTTAAAACATTCCCAAACCCTTCCACTATCACTCAGACTTTATAAATAGAAATGGAATCACTTGGAGGCAAAAGGGTTGCTTGTCATTTATTCTTCACTATATTATATAATTACAGATAAAAGAAAAAGAGCCAAGAATCAAGCTTCTAAAATTGTGGGAACTGACTTTACATTTTTATTTTAGCTTCTCTTGCTCCACACTCTTCCCAGCTAACATGCTTTAAACACTGACAGCTTTAGTCTTTGTTTTCATTAAACGGGTCCTCTGTAATGAAAAACAAATGCTTGGCTAATTGCCTTGGGGTTTTGTGAAAACAACCAGTTAGTGTAATTTTTATGTATAAATAAGACACTGAAGAGAAATGTTTATTATACAGCAGGTCCTTGAATAATAGCTTTTTGTTCAAGGTCTTTTTTGTTATAAAGTTGATGAGATGCCACAGGAACTTAACTCTTGTTTGCATCAATTAACCTGTGGTAAAATTGGTTTTGTTATATGTCGTTTCACTTAAAGTTGCAGAACCAATTGATGATGTTAAGTGAGGGTTAACTGTATTTACTTTTGCACATATATCCTGCTTTCCATTACAGTAGGGAGTATGGTAGAACAGGATGAAATTCTGGAGTAAACACACCTGGGTTCAAATACACTTTCTGCTCGTTACTAGCTGTATAATCTTGGACAAGTTCCTTAATTTCTTGGTTCCCTCACCCCACCTAGCAGGATTGGGGGGAAAACAGAATGAGAACACCATGGAGAGTATCTTGCATAGAGCAGGTAGTCAATAAAGGCATTTATTCTTGCACTAAAAAAAAATTTAATAACCAGGTCAAAACAGTGAAACAGATTTTAAATACAGAGTTTTATAATTCACTGTTGGAAAACACTGCTTTCTGGTTTTAAAACCTTTATGTGGCTTAGCCCAGAAAGATTAATTAGGGCTCGAGAGCCCATCACTGTCTCAAGTTCTGGATAGCAAACTGATGTGCAAGGCAAGACACTGATGGAGGATTATGAAGAGGGTCATACGCAGACCACTGTGTGCAACACAGTGTACTTGGCAGTTCTGTAGGGAAGGACCGGAAGATGAGGAGAGAAAACCACACAGCATCTAACACTTTTATAGTGAATACGACATTCTAGACACTGAGCTTTGCCTGTATTAACTTAATCCTTACAACAAACCTGTGAGGTAGATTCTCTGTTGCCTACCTTAAACGTAGTCTCCTTTGTAAGCCAAATTCTCTGGAAGTGAATGCCAAGATTTAGACTTGCCCCACTACTCCCATCTCTTCCCCGTGTACACATTAGTTCTTATGCTTAATCATTATGGTCTTTCCAACGTTAATTCCTAACCTCAAATTGTTTACTAAATTGTTTTCCTTTAAAAAGATTCGGGTATAATTGGCTGCGTTCTGTTTTGTCTGCTGAATGATTTTTTGTTCTGACACTATCTTAAGAAATGTTTTTTTGAATCTGCCTTTTAAAAAGTGGTGCTTCCACCATCATTCACCCCAAAATAGTTGAGGCATCATTACACTTCTACTCAAATGCTATAAATCTCAGTAGTTTAAGTTATTTTATAATATATGGATTTATATATCAATTTTGTTAAATTCTTCCATGTTTTTCTGCTATATCTTGGTTAACAAGACAAGCTTTTGTAGTTTATTATTTATTCACTTATTCAACACATATATTTGTTTATATTGTGTTAGGCCTTGTGGGAAATGAATGAGACATGAGAGACCTCTACAAATTTAGAAGGATGTACGTACCTGGAGCCAAGAGGTAAGGTAAATTCTGTAAAAAATATGAACGAGGA